GAGAGAGAGAGAGAGAGAGAGAGACAGAGACGAGACAAGAGAGAGAGACAGAGAGCAGAGAGAGGAACGGGAGGAGAGAGAGAGAGAGAGAGAGAGAGAGAGAGAGAAGAAGGTGAGAGAAGAGCAGAGGAGAGAGAGAGAGAGATGAGAGAGGAGAGAGAGAGAGAGAGAGAAGATGTACACCTGATTCCTGCACTGCGGTTGACGTCAGATCAAATTCAGATGGATGCAACGGAGAGCAGCTATCAGCTCCACCAGAAGGACGGGAAAGAAGCCTAAATAAACAGAGACTCTAGAGAGATGCAGTTTCTGTTAGAAAATATGCAATCCTATTAACAAACAAGATTCTAATAAGACTTAAAAATTTTACAGTCCAACAGGTTGGAGTCTAAAAACCGACCCTCCCCCCCCAAAAAAAAAAAAAAATGTCGAACTAAGGTGTAGAGTAACTGTGCCACAGCGCAAAGACATTTAGTGTATTCTATATGACGGTGTCAAGAGGTTTCAGTACGTAGTGTTACCTGGATATACGTGACGTTGGGGAAGACTTAACTGAAGGAGATGCCACAAGGCTTGACCAAGCAGTATGCTTTCCTTTTTTTTAATGAGGTTGAGCAGATCCCGGACAAAATAAACGTGTCGCTTAAAAGTGTAAGAGGAATGAACATCTTTAGGGATAATGGGTCACTTAGTGAATATGAGAGGTGAGTTTCCGTAGAGTTAGTTTGTAACATTCCAAAACGTAAATAATGGAGGGACTTGGATGTGCTTCTAGTGTGTTATAGAAAGGCCAGATCTATGACTTCTGTACTTCTGTGATTTTTACCGTATCTTTCACAGCTTTTTACGAGTTTATGAAAGCTAGTCGAAACTGTCATTATTCCGACGTATAAGTGACTGGAAACCGCCATCTCCCAAGTTTGGAACCAGACAGCTTCACATATCATTTCCCCACTCCCTTTAGGAAGGAGCTAGAAATGTCAGTATGGAGAACCTTACGACGACGTTTCGGTCCGACCTGAACCATTTACAAGTTACACTTGTAAATGCTCTGTGTCGGACCGAAACGTCGTCATAAACTTCTCTCTCTCTTATGTGCTGGTTATTTGTGTATTGTTCCAGTCACGGTATTATACCTCTTTATTCTTCATATTCCTTTGCTTCAATCGGACTTCAATACCTCCTACCCATGAGCTAAATGGCCCCCACTGGCTTAGCGCTTCCGCCCGATAATAATAATAATGTGAACCGAGCCAGTAAAGAGACGAAAACGACACTACAAACTCTCGGAAAGTGGTGAAGACTTTCCTGGAACACCTGAGTCAGCGAGTCAACGTAAGGCAAAAGAAATTGCCTTCAAGTTACTGATAAAAGATGAGAGAAGAGGTTGTTATTGCACAGGTAATTAACACCATTGTGAGCGCCTGACCACGATTTAATGAGAAAGAAATTGACATGAGAAACGAAAAGTAAGGGTTCATGGGCGTGTCCCAGGTGTTTTTTAGGAGCGATCTTGCAAAGTCTGACAGCTGCTGATACTGTAGTCCTCCACCTACTGACATTCTAGTCTGCTGGCTCCTGATGTTCTAGTTCTCTGTCTCCTGACATTTTTGTCTGCTGGCTTCTGACATTTTTGTCTGCTGGCTCCTGATGTTCTAATTCACTGGCTCCTGACATTATAGTTTGCTGGCTCCTGACATTCTAGTCTGCTGTCTCCTGATGTTCTAGTCTTCCGGCTCCTGACAGTCTAGTTCTCTGGCTCCTGATATTCTACTCCTCTAGCTCTTGACATTCTAATCCTCCGGCTCCTGACATTCTAGCCCTCTGGCTCTTGAAAGTTTAAAGCCGACCTGAAGAAGCATTCTCAGTTTATCGCATGGAAAGTCTCAATAAATCGTAGTGACACGATTGTAAACAAGTCATTACACAGAAGGCTCGAACCTATGGTAAGCCAGTCTTAAAAACCTTATTAGGACGGCATGGTACAGTGGATAACACACTGGGCTGCCAGTGTGTTATCCACTATTAGTTATCTCCTGTCGGGAGATAACTAATAAAATATTTTCCCATACAGGATTCTAGAATCTTAAAAGTAGAAAATAATTTGGAAAATGACAAGAAAAAGAGAAAAAAATAATATTTTATGGCATGTTGAAGTTTGACAAATTTATGATATTTTCGCCAATAACAAATTAATAAATATAGTTTGTATTATATTTTTCTTAACTAACTTCACATGTGTCCTGGAGGTGGGAAGTAGAGTGCCGGCACTCTGAAGGAGAGTAGGAATACTCCAGTGCCGGCACTCTGAAGGAGAGTAGGAATACTCCAATGCCGGCACTCTGAAGGAGAGTAGGAATACTCCAGTGCCGGCACTCTGAAGGAGAGTAGGAATACTCCAGTGCCGGCACTCTGAAGGAGAGTAGGAATACTCCAGTGCCGACACTCTGAAGTAGGGGTGGAGGATACTCCAGTACCTGCACTCTGAAGGAGGGGTGGAGGATACTCCAGTGCCTGCACTCTGAAGTAGGGGTGGAGGATACTCCAGTACCTGCACTCTGAAGGAGGGGTGAAGGATACTACAGTGCCTGCACTCTGAAGGAGGGGTGGAGGATACTCCAGTGCTTGCACTCTGAAGGAGTGGTGGGTGATTCTCCAGTGCCTGCACTCTGAAGGAGGGGTGGAGGATACTCCAGTGCCTGCACTCTGAAGGAGAGGTGGAGGGTACTCCAGTGCCTGCACTCTGAAGGAGGGGTGGAGGATACTCCAGTGCCTGCACTCTGAAGGAGGGGTGGAGGATACTCCAGTGCCTGCACTCTGAAGGAGGGGTGGAGGATACTCCAGTGCCTGCACTCTGAAGGAGAGGTGGAGGGTACTCCAGTGCCTGCACTCTGAAGGAGGGGTGGAGGATACTCCAGTGCCTGCACTCTGAAGGAGGGGTGGAGGATACTCCAGTGCCTGCACTCTGAAGGAGGGGTGGAGGATACTCCAGTGCCTGCACTCTGAAGGAGGGGTGGAGGATACTCCAGTGCCTGCACTCTGAAGGAGGGGTGGAGGATACTCCAGTGCCTGCACTCTGAAGGAGAGGTGGAGGGTACTCCAGTGCCTGCACTCTGAAGGAGGGGTGGAGGATACTCCAGTGCCTACACTCTGAAGGAGTGGTGGGGGTTCTCTAGTGCCTGCACTCTGATGGAGGGGTGGGGGATTCTCCACTGCCTACACTCTGAAGGAGGGGTGGAGGATACTCCAGTGCCTGCACTCTGATGGATGGGTGGGGGATTCTCCAGTGCCTGCACTCTGAAAGAGGGGCGTGGGTTTTCCATCTTAGAGATTCATCTGAGTTGTAAGTTCAACTCGCCTCTGGCAAGACAGTGGCGAAGTGAATGATGGTGAAAGCGTTTATTCTTTTTTGTATGGGTGACCCTGCCTCGGTGGGAGACAGCTGCTGTGCTGAAAAGAAAAATTTCTTGGGTCAAGATTGTAATCGTGGTTTTTCACAGTTAATACGAGTTTTCTATATTTTATTATTTTGAGGATGTGGCAGAGCATGAAACATGGACACATGTACACATGACGCTGTACAAATGACAGGTGTACACATGACGCTGTACATATGACGCTCATGCATACAGGTATACACACGACGTTGCATACATAACGTATTGATCAGCATCTGCTGCTGCTAGACTTGAGTGTGTTGAGCTAAAGCCCCTGGGCCTTGTTGATAATGTTGACTCCTAGCTTCTGGACCCTGGGAGGCTTGAGGAATGGATCTCTTGAAGGAGGTGAACTTGAGCTGTCCTCTGACGTAAATAGAAAACTGACAAGTTGAAGAATGAAACACATTAGACAGATTTGGGAATCTTTATTATGGAAACGTTTCGCTAAAACGTTTCCACAGTAAAGATTACCAAATCTGTCACAAGTGACTCGTAAAGAACAGCAAGTCACAATGTAGTGACTGGCACAATATAGTGACTGGCACAATATAGTGACTGGCACAATGTAGTGACTGACACAATATAGTGACTGACACAATATAGTGACTGACACAATATAGTGACTGACACAATATAGTGACTGGCATAATATAGTGACTGGCACAATATAGTGACTGGCACAATATTGTGACTGTAACAATACACATATAACCCACACATAGGAGAGAAAGAAGCTAATTAGGACGTTTCGATCCGTCTTGAACCATTCATAAGTCACTTTCCTCTGACTTGTAAATGGTCCAAGACGGACCGAAACGTCGTCATAAGCTTCTCTCTCTCTCTCTCCTATGAGCAGTTAATTATGAGTCTCATAATTCATCTCCTCTACCTTTCTAGGGATTTAAATTAACAAATAATATTCCTCATAAGTATACTGGGATACATAATACTGGGGATACATTTATCATGTCTAACAGCGAAATATATAAAGTTATAATCATTGCTATAATTAAGAACAAAAAGGCACAATACCGTGAGTGGAACAATACACAAATGGTCAAAGTCGAACCGAAATACCGTGATAAACTTTCCTCTCAGCTACATGCGAGTTAACTCTGTATTGTTATCATTATTGTTCTTATGAATGGCATTGGTATTAGCATCAGTAGGAATATTACTGTAATTTATTATTTCTTAGCTAGTGAGTCGTAGTGTGAGGTATTAATTGTCTTTAAATAATATGTTAAATTTTCCACTATAATCTACCTTGTCCATAATTACTATCGCATTTGCTTTGTCTGTTTCGTAAGGTGATGTCCAGGATCTTTCCTTAATTCATAGTATAACTTAACTTTTCTCAGACCTCTACAACACAACTGTCCTCAAACATTTGTTAAGTTACACTATGAATTAAGGAAAGATCCTGGACTTCACCTTACGAAACAGACAAAGCAAATGCGATACTAATTATGGACAAGGTAGATTATAGTGGAAAAATGAACAAGTTATTAGAAGACGGGGGAACTTACGTGCCCCTTAACAAGTGTGTTGCTGCTGCAGGCATTGATTGTGTTCACTGTGGCGACAACCCTGGTGAGCAGTGTGGTGGTGTGCGCTGCGCCCTGGGTCAAGCGACCTCTCTCCCCTACCGTCAGGCTCTCTCTCTCGCTGGCTGCTGCTAACACCCTCTTCGCTGTTACGTGGACTCTATGTGAGTATTCCTGGCATAACCTGGGGTCTCTGTGAGTACTCCTATCACCTGGGGTTTCTGTGAGTACTCATATCGCCTCGGGTCTCTGTGAGTATTCCTATAACCTGGGGTCTCCGAGAGTACTCCTGTCATCACCTGGGGTCTCTGAGAATACTCATGTCACCTGGGGTTTCTGTGAGTACTCTTTTCAACACCTGGGGATCTCTGTGAGTACTCCTGTCATCATCTGGAATGTCTTTTAAGTACTCCTATCAGCTGAGGTCTCTGTGACTAACCTTTTCAAAACCTAGGGAGCTCTGTGATTTCTCCTGTCATCATCTGGGGTGTCTGTAAGTACTTCTATCACCTGGGGTCTCTGTAAGTACTCTTATCACCTGGGGTCTCTGTATGTACTCCTATCACCTGGGGTATCTGTAAGTACTCCTATCACCTGGGGTCTCTGTAAGTACTCCTATCACCTGGGGTCTCTGTAAGTACTCCTATCATCTGGAGTTTCTGTAAGTACTCCTATCACCTGGGATTTCTGTAAGTACTCCTATCACCTGGGATCTCTGTAAGTACTCCTATCACCTAGGGTCTCTGTAAGTACTCCTATCACCTGGTGTCTATGTGAGTACTCTTGGCATCACCTAAGATCTCTGTGAGTACTCTAATCATCACCATGTTATCACTTGGCCCCCTCCAGTACCACATGGACCCCGCCATGTCATTGCCATGTCATCCCATGGACTCTATGAGTACTCTTGTCATCTCCCAGAGTCTGTAAGTACCTTTGTAATGATGAATAAAGCACTTTTGTAACACCTGGGCAATTTTACTGCAGAAAAGTTTCGCCAACCAGTGGCTTTACATCAGTTTAATACAGAGAAAATAATGGAGGTTGAGAGAAGGCAATCTGGGGTAATCAGTCCCTCAACCTAGAGATGATATATTTATCGGCAGTGATAAAAAGATAGTGTTACATAGGTGTTTAATTTATTTAATTGTCGGTGTTCAAACCCGTTTATAATAATAAACTTATTATCACTCGAGGTCTTTATTATTTCCCAGGATGATGACAAGGATGCTAATAAACACCCATTGTAAACACTGGGTCTTTGTTAGCACCCTTGTCATCATCCTGGGCCTATGCTAGCACCTTTGTCATCATTCTGGGCCTATGCTAGCACCCTTGTCATCATCATGGGCCTATGCTAGCACCCTTGTCATCACCCTGGGCATATGCTAGCACCTTTGTCATCATCCTGGGCCTATGCTAGCACCTTTGTCATCACCCTTGGCCTATGCTAGCACCCTTGTCATCATCCTGGGCCTATGCTAGCACCCTTGTCATCATCCTGGGCCTATGCTAGCACCCTTGTCATCATCCTGGGCCTATGCTAGCACCCTTGTCATCATCCTGAGCCTATGCTAGCACCCTTGTCATCATGTTGTGCAAGACAGGTATATAATACCGACAAGATGAAAGTTAAGACACTTGTGCAACATCTGGTATCTTTATTGTAAACGTTTCGCCATCCAGTGGCTTTATCAATACAAATTCTTGGACATAATTAGAAAACAGAAGAACTATATACAAAAGATGAGGTAATCAGTCCCTCAGCCTTGGAGGTGGTGTTTACAACACCGTGGTTGTAGAGATTCTGAAGCACAGGTAAGGAGACTGGCGCTTATATACCTGTGCTTCAGAATCTCTACAACCACGGTGTTGTAAACACCACCTCCAAGGCTGAGGGACTGATTACCTCATCTTTTGTATATAGTTCTTCTGTTTTCTAATTATGTCCAAGAATTTGTATTGATAAAGCCACTGGATGGCGAAACGTTTACAATATAGATAACCAGATGTTGCACATGTGTCTTAACTTTCACCCTTGTCATCATCCTGGACCTATGCTAGCACCCTTGTCATCATCCTGGGCCTATGCTAGCACCCTTGTCATCATCCTGGGCCTATGCTAGCACCCTTGTCATCATCATGGGCCTATGCTAGCACCCTTGTCATTATCCTGGGCCTATGCTAGCACCTTTGTCATCATCCTGGGCCTATGCTAGCACCTTTGTCATCATCCTGGGCCTATGCTAGGACCCTTGTCATCATCCTGGGCCTATGCTAGCACCCTTGTCATCATCCTGGACCTATGCTAGCACCCTTGTCATCATCCTGGGCCTATGCTAGCACCCTTGTCATTATCCTGGGCCTATGCTAGCACATTTTATATTCTATGTGAACATTTATTAATAAACAGAATACATTTACAGAATACATTTACAGAAAAAAACATAAACATGAATACAATGGCACAATGTATCAAAGATCATGAATTTCCTCCAGCTCCTCCGAGGCTGGACGTGAGCCAAGTATGCAGCAAGCATTTCCCCTCTTGATGTCTACGCTGAGGCGCTGGAGCATGAAAGTGGCTGCCCTTGGGTCCCTGGTGGTGTCGATGAGTCTGGAACCCAGTTCTTTAAGGAAACGTGTGGTATTTTTTCCCCATGATCCCAAGGTCTCTGATCCCACTGGGACAAATTGATACTGTTGGCTAATGTCCCTGTACTTGCTGATCTTGTACTCCTCCCTGTGGTCAGCTAGGGAGGATAGGAATAGGACAGGTAAACATGCACCAACAGGGAATACAGTCACAGAAACCCAAGGCAAACGGAAACCAAGCCTGTGCACATACTATGCACTTGGTATCTGCTGGCATGGGAAATCTGGAAAAACAGACGGGACGTGCAACTATGACCACCCTAGAAAATGCCGTGCCCATATGACAACAGGAAAATGCAAACTCCCTTCCTGTAAGCTTTTTCACCCCGAAATGTGTACCTCTTCAGTACAGGAAAGACTGTACTATAACTTAAATTGCCAGGCACACCATCTAAAGGGGACAAAAAGATACAAAACATCCAGGCCATGGGAAAACCTGGGTAGCCACAGCCACTCAAGAGGGAGAGGTTTTTAGTGCCAGGAAGGAAAAAAAACTGGGAGGAAATGGCAAAAATCGTACACCAAATCCCGTCATTCCTGGAGTGGGAAACCCCAGTCCGATGGGCCCCCACTCCATACCAACAGATACAGATACTAATGCCGGAAAAAAAAAATACCCCCCCGTACCAACAATACCACATCCGATGACATTCTTCTTTGCAAATATACAGGGTCTAAAGCCACAACAAACAACAAAATACCTTTCATTTCCCTGGACTGCTTGCAGAGGCAAAGGGAATGTTCGCGGCTTTCACTGAGACCCACATAAGGATCACTGGGACAACGAAATATGGATCCCAGGTTACAACCTATACAGATGTGACAGAGTGAACAGGCAAAAGGGGAAAGGGGTTGGCCTGTACATTGCAGAGTCACTTGTTTGCACAGAACTGCTAAATGCCTCAAATGATGTAGTGGAAGTTTTAGCAGTAAAGGTCGAGAACCAAACCTAGTCATTGTGGTAGTCTACAAGCCTCCGAAAAGCAACATCCCAGCAATTCCAGGAACAGCTGTTAAAAATTGACCACTGTCCCGGAAAACTTCCAGCCCCTGCACCCAAAAATCTTGCTCCTGGGGGTTTCAAATTTAAAGGGACCTAAAATGGGGGAATATAGCAAATTAATATTGTTGCAGTAAAAAAACACCAGGAGGCAGCTCTGATGAAAACTCACACTCACACGAGCTTTAAATCTCTCACAAAATTCAATTTAAACCAGCAAATAATAAAGCCTACTAGACTGGAGAATACACTAAACCTCATCTTCACTAACAATGATGATCTGATCAGAAATGTCACGATATCAAAAACAATATACTCAGATCACAACATAATTGAGGTTCAGACATGTATGCGCGGAGCCCCAGACCGACATAATGAGACTAGTCACGAGGGAGCATTCACCAAATTCAACTTCAATAACAGAAACATAAAGTGGGACCAAGTAAACCAAGTCCTAACCGATATAAGCTGGGAAGATATACTAAGCAACACAGACCCAACTTATGCCTAGAACAGATTAACTCGGTGGCACTCGGTGTATGCACAAGGGTTATTCCTCTAAGAAAAAGGAGGAGTAGATGTAAAATAGAAAGAGACAGGCGCTCCCTTTACAGGCGACGGAAAAGAATAACAGAGCGGCTAAAAGAGGTCAATATATCTGAAATGCGTAGGGAGACACTGGTCAGAGAAATAGCAAGCATCGAACTTAAGCTAAAGGAATCTTATAGGAGTCAGGAATCGCGGGAAGAACTAAAAGCCATAAATGAAATCGAAAGAAACCCAAAGTATTTCTTCTCCTATGCCAAATCAAAGTCGAGAACAACGTCCATTATTGGGCCCCTACTTAAACAAAATGGGTCCTACACAGATGACAGCAAGGAAATGAGTGAGCTACTCAAGTCCCAGTATGACTCAGTTTTTAGCAAGCCGCTAACCAGACTGAGAGTCGAAGATCAAAATTATTTTTTTATGAGAGAGCCACAGAATTTGGTTAACACAAGCCTATCCGATGTTATCCTGACGCCAAATGACTTCGAACAGGCGATAAATGACATGCCCAAGCACTCTGCCCCAGGGCCAGACTCATGGAACTCCGTGTTCATCAAGAACTGCAAGAAGCCACTATCACGAGCCTTTACCATCCTATGGAGAGGGAGCATGGACACGGGGGTCGTCCCACAGTTACTAAAAACAACAGACATAGCCCCACTCCACAAAGGGGGCAGTAAAGCAACAGCAAAGAACTACAGACCGATAGCACTAACATCCCATATCATAAAAATCTTTGAAAGGGTCCTAAGAAGCAAGATCACCACCCATCTAGAAACCCATCAGTTACACAACCCAGGGCAACATGGGTTTAGAACAGGTCGCTCCTGTCTGTCTCAACTATTGGATCACTACGACAAGGTCCTAGATGCACTAGAAGACAAAAAGAATGCAGATGTAATATATACAGACTCTGCTAAAGCCTTCGACAATGTGAGTATGGCGTAATAGCGCACAAAA